CATTACTTCCACTAACAAGCACACATACAGCTCACTCACTACACAGACAATATGTTAATATGCAATTCACATCGTATCTGCCGTGAACCTTGGTTTTTCTCTCCTAGACTGTTGTTATTGCCCTCTCTGTTTTGTAGTTAGGAATGACATAATGCTTGTGGTGGCAGGTCAACACCGTGTTTATGACTGACATAAGACTGTTGCACAGTTTTAGGCACGGGCTCTGGCGTTTGAGAGTTCGCAGGCTGTAGCGGAATGATTTCTGTTGAATCATTGCTACGTCGAGAGCTTTACGATGGATGTTATGTCGTTTTTATGACATTTGTGATTAGGAGTCATGACAGGCACTGTAATTATGATGTTTTGTGCAGGCCGGGCTCCACTGGAAATCATGGCAAAACTCTCTTCCAGCTTTAAATTCTCCACAGCAGCTTTGAACGCTATTCATGGCAGCATAAAGTAAATGATACAGCTTCATGCTAGAATTATATTGCAGCAATGTAGGTCTATGACATCATATTTCTCCTCCGTTTACTCAGAGCTAAGATTTGATATGCACTTTCTTGTATGCATTAGCAGCTGACTGTTGTCGTGCAGATGCAGTTAAGGAAATTTAGCGATGCAGAGGCGCTCTAAGATGGAAAAGCATTTGAAATAGTGTTTATTAACCAGATTGTTTTTAAAGTCTACTAAGATGCAACTTTCTACTTCAGTAACTTCAAATCATCATTATTATAAAATTAATGCTCATAAGCTTTTTCACTGTAGATCAGCTACAGTCTTTACGTGTTGATGGTCCTGAATTTTATGTTTCTTAATTATTGAAATTAAATGCTAATTTACTAGCTGGTCATTTTGGATATTTAGTGTCGGTCTTTGTTACGGTTTGTATTGTACAGAAATCTTATCTCACATCCATGCAATTCTAAATTTGTGCCTAAAATAATGAGAGAAGAAAGAAAATCATCTTTATAGATCCTGACATCACGACATCCCCAAGCCCAGTGGCAATATACTGCTTAATAAAAATTGCTGCCTACCTTTTAATCAATACTGTATGCATTTTTCATGATTTTCTATTTATAATTAACTTGAGTTATTCTGCAATGAAAGTATATTCAGGTTTAGTTTGAAATAGGCGTTTGTTTTTCACACAACTGTTTGTGCAATGTGTAACAGGATTTTCCATGCTTGGCTAAGAAGATTTGCTAGACACTTGATGCTTGATTTTATCTGCTGTATTTGCACCCTATTTTTACTATAGAAGAGTTTTTAGATGAAGTTGATATACGGATACTTAATGTGTCAGTTGTGTCCTTTCATCATTATCTTAATCATTACCATTGTGTGCTGTGTTTATGCATATTTTATCTACACTTTTTGTTTTTATCTTCTGTCTTCAAATACTCACTGTATTAAGATTTGACATATATGAGTTATATTGTTGCGAGATGTTGGTGCTAATGAAAGGGAATGATACCAGCATGTTGAGTTTAAGGTAGAAAGAAATTGATTTGAATGTTTAAAGCGTTTCAGCAAGAACAGGATTATTGAAGTAGTTATGAAAGAAGTTAATGTCTGTCCAACCTGTCGTTTACCTTGTGTCACTAGGTATTCTGGTGTTGCAGTACATGTTGAGTATATAGAAGTTTGAATATTTTGAAGAGTCTGGTATTCTTTCCCAGAAGACAGCGCACTACATGTATTCTCCGTAGTCTTTGTTTGTGGTTGTAATCTGACTTTATGTCTTAGGGAAGTTTTTTTTTTTTGTCGTTCCACTGAGAGCTCTAATACGAGTACCCCTCGTCAGGACACTTTCTCCTATTGCAATAAAGCTCCAGTGGTTATGGTTTGTTTTGAAGTTTTGTGTGTGAAGGTTATCCCACATGTACACCGCCGTGTATTTTCTTATCGCTCATGTAACAGGGTTTGGGTGGGGTTCTGTATAATAAAATGGTTTATGTATCCATTATTGGGTCTAATGTGTCTTTTTCTGGCCAAAGATCATAGCAATATTTTGATCCTCACATGCCATTTCACTGGTAATTAACTGTGCCATTTCTTTTCACACAGCTATATAACCTATATTCCCTTTTGGCTCGTTGCCTATTTCAGGTGCATTTCTCATTCAGGATTTTCTCTCACAGTCTACCCCTCGGGCCTGACCTCCTCATCATCTTCATCCTTGTGACTGCTCACACCTCCGGCAGTCTCAGGCTCCAGTCTTTTAAGCTCTCCTCATGCCCCTCTACCACACTCCCTCCATCTTAAGTCTGGGGTGACGATAGCTAATTATAAAATCAATGATGCCGGGCTGCCTAGTTTACAGCCCCCTCTAAAACCTTAACTGGGAAATCACTGTGGGATTGATGACTCCCTCACTCTTTATCTCTTTTAATTAGAAATGTAAAAGATATGAAGACCCAGAGGCCAGAACACATCTCCTAGTTTTTATGACCCCGACGCCTGCTTTCCCCAGCTCTCGCTTCCCTTCTCCGAATCACCCCTTCCTCTACCTGGCCTTGTTTATTTCCTCTGCCTCCCTGCCGGCACACCCTCCATTCTTACTCTTGTCACAGATACCTTTACCCGTTTCTTCATCACTTTCTCCATTACCCTTTCTTTAAGATCGCCCGCCTGCCCCCTCTGCTCGCACAGGGGAAGGTGTTAAATTTATGGTCTTTGCGCTTGAAAATGTTTCTCACCTTCCCCTCACCTCTCCTCTCTTCCCTTGACTGATTCACAAACTCTCCATGGATTCGCTGCATAATGTAGCAAATGACAAACATGTCCTTTTTGTCTGTTTTGACCCAAGCAGGGGACACACTGTAAATGATGTGCTGTTTCACACCATGACCCTGCTCCCAACTCCATGCATCCAGCATATGACATATGCACCCCCTCTGTCTTGTATATAACTTCAGGTCCACATAGAAAGTGGACCTTTTTTATCACATCAAACCCAGTCACATGCACCTCCACTCTCTGCCTTTATCACACCCTGAGCCCAGGCCCTTCCTCCCTAACTGCTGCCAGGAACACTTGGGTTCACTGAGCTTTATCCTCCCGATCACTCTCCGAGGAGCCAGCCTCTCCTGCTCCATTATCTCTCCTGTGTGTTGACTAAGCTACCACTGCAGTTTGCTCGTGTTCAGAGCAAACTCAGCGGATGTGCTGCCAGGGATCTCTCTCTGGGTTTAAATATTCAAATTAAAGTCTTTGGTGTTCCATGCTCATGACCTACTTTTATGGATTCTTTACTATTTTTATGAATAATAGATATCATGTGGCTGCAAGAATATTACAAGGGAGATTTTTACCCTTTATTAATTCATTGTAGAGTTATACTTTCTTTACACATTTTCATTATCCCCCCCCCCCCATTTTCAGTGAATAAGCCTTCCAACCTCAAGTAATTAGTTAATCAAGCGTCATTGATGTGGAAGGATGAGTATATAGAAATCTTGCCTGGCTCCTTTAAAGCACACCCAAACCCTCCCATGGGTTCCCATGGCAACACCTTCCAGGAGCTCAGTATGTGAGACCATTTCATTGTTCCTTGTAAAATAGCGTATAATGTATGGACCTTATTTTAATTCCAGTCTGCCGTTATTGATCTGTCTTTAATGATAGTTAATTAAAGCAATCGTATAATTGATAGAATCTCATCTCTGTTTATCACCCTCCTCTGATTCTCTCTCTCTATTTCTCTCTCTCTCTCTATTAATAAAATCAAGGTGAGGCATTAGTATCCCACACTGGTACACTGGGATAAAAGAGATGTTTACTATCAGTAGCTCTTTACAAAGAGGGTCCCTGTTCTTTATCAGGGTATCAGGAGAGCATGATCTTATTAGTGACAGTGATGAATTCAAGGTAGGCGTTATAAAATGTGTTAAAAAATGTATAACTCACATAACTGACATTTACAAGGCCGATCTGAAAAATGTTTAAGGGAATCACATCAAATTCCTTGTTTTTATTCATTTGCCTGTTTCAAATGAGGTTTGCGCCACTATGTTCAGGTTTCTGAGACTTGCCTTTTGAGTTGAGTTTAAGGCCCTGGTGTCCTTTCACATTTCACAGGTCATTACCAAAACAGACTCAGTTTTGCATCCAGGATGCTCTCTTCTACAAGATCAAATATCACATTAGTCCAATAAAATCTGAGGCTACGTCGGGAACATGCACTGACTGTTCAGCTGGAAGCATTACTTCCCAAGCAGACCTCTCATATAGACATAACTAATTTCTAGGGAATTATTTTCATTATCAATTCATCTGCCAATTATTTTTTCAATTAATCATTGCCAATCACAACTTTGCAGAGCCAAGGGGTGATCTGTTTAAAAACCAAGATATTTAATTTACAATGACAAAGCACGTTGAAAAATAGATTATCAAAATAGTTCATTATTCATCTGCTGACCGACTTGTCAATGAATTGAGAAGTTGTTTTATTGATATGTTTCATGTGATAGAATCTGTTTTGCGTTTTTTTTGTCATCTTGAGGTGTAAATCTTTTTCCCTTGCAAGAATTCAATAAATAAATCAGAACGGACAGGTTTACTTTGTAAATTCTAGACCACTCTATCTTTGAGACAAAACTACAGGAAGAGTAACTCTGTGATGTTTTTCTTTTTACAATACCACCTGCACTCCTCCAACCACAGAGTGAACAAATCTTAGGAACAGACCTTTATCTGATGTCCTTGTTCAGCAGTAAGCTGTGATTTATTAGCCTCTGCAGCCATAGCGCTCCATGACCCAACAGACCCTGCTCTTATCCTCCATACAGGGTGAACACTGCTGCAAGCAGTACACCCTGCAGTCATGGTTCAAGAGCTCCCTCTACTGATATTTCACAGTAATGCATGGTTATATTCACTCCGCTAACACTTAAGCGTTAAGACAGTATGCTTGCATGAGTTCCATTTTTCATCATTTAAGATATTATATATTTTTGCATGAGGAAGAAAAATGAAATAAAAAAGTCCAGTAATCTCACAAAAGTAGTTTATTGTGCCTCTTACTGTTTATATGGCTTTTCTTTGTATGACAAGAGTTGACATAAACAGGGTAGACAACACCTTGGCCATGTTGAAAAACAAAAACATAAAACAACATAATCTCAATGTTCTGCCTTCATTACCATCATTAACATCATGACAGCCCAGCAGAAAGAGAAGGGATGAGGTCATCACACAAGTGTTTTTGTATGACAGCACCATGCCGAGGACATTCACCCAATGACTGAAAGCAAGCATTCACACATACACACATGCCCGCGCGCGCACACACACACAACCACACCCACACCCACACACAACTCAAAAATGAGGAGACCTGTCCATATTCAAAAGACGGGACCTCTCACCGCTACAGAAAGAATGTTCATATTGCTTCAAAGAGATACAAAAAAGAACCTCTGTACTGTATTTCAGCCGCGCTCTCCCAGCTGATTGCCTACAGAGACATTTTGGCAATAAAGAAATGATACATGAGAACACATAATCCTCCACAGCTCCTTTAAAGAGAGGCAAGGATATACACAAGAAGACATGATGATATAATGGCTTTTGGGATGAGAAGGCAGTTTGTTGCATGGATGCCAGCTAGAGCACAGGCAGGGGCAGTGATGATGATGATGATGATGATGATGATGATGATTTTGTCCCCCTGTGGAAGAGTCAGACTGACATCCATGCTGTTTTTCAGACTTGACACCTTCTATGTACAGGCAGAGGGGGTTGAGCTGATCAAAACAGAGTCAAGAATACACACATAAATATTGCCTGTTTCTAGCGTGCCTGAGAGCAGCTAGGGTTTGGTCCTTACTGAAAAGCCCTGAGTCTGATTTCAAAATGTCTTCCAAAAGGATTCCTGCTTTCAACTTGCATATGTCTTTGATCGTTGTGTTGGTGAATAATGTCGCTATTATGAATGGATGTTTTTGTCCGTGCTGAAAGAGTGTCTTTCTACTGACATCATCGGGGAGTGCTCTAAGGTTGATTGTATTTTATATGTTGATGTTGTCATCAGTTTGGACATGCTAACGGAGAGAAAAGCTCACAGACAGCAACTCTACTCTCAGCGGACGAGATGTGCCTCACTTTAATAGAGGATCACAAAAGTGCTACATAAACGGTGTGAAGTGGAAATCTCTCTCCGGGCACTCGATGCCAGGTCGGCACATCTGCTCCAGCTGAGGGTAGAGTGAAAGGAGTGCGAGTATATGTGTACAGTATACGCTGTGCATGAGATTGATGGTGTGTTTGTGTTGTGCATATGTGAGAGAGCACTCTGCTGTGAGGATCGTTGGATCGTGGCTAGAGTCCCTGCCAGTAGTCAAACTTCTGCTCCAAAGATGACTTCTTCTAACTTTGGCACAAAAGATGCTTACTTTCCGCATTGGCAGCATTAGTCGGCTGCAACAAGAGCAAAATAGAATAATGCCAATTCCCTGATAACAGAAACTGATCAAGTCACTGCAACATAACAATAGTCCTCTGGGTTGATTATCACTGACATCCACAGTGAGCCAAAGTGCCCAAAAAAGCCCCAGCTTAGCACATGTAGCTGCTAAGGAAGACCCAGCCAGTTCTGATTACCCTTCTTTCCATCTGAATATCTTCTCAGGAAAGCTCTTCAAAGAAAAAATGTGTCTAAAGGATTCATATATAAAACCAGAATAACAAATAAAGAAATATAATGGTATATAGATATGTATGGGCTTATTCATAAATTGAAAAATAAGAAAAACGGAGAACTATTCAAAAGCAATAACAACAAAAACAAAAGATAAGCATACTCGATTTGGTTTTGCCCTGTAGTCTATTTTTCTTTTGAGAAATGTGCTTGCTGTAATCCATTGGAATCAACTGCTCAGTTCTGGTATCTGGTTTGGCCGTTCCCCTATTCAGATATAAACAACAATAGTGGGGAAAAAAGAGACATTTAGCTTTCTCAAAGAGGTTACGTTCTTATTGTCACGTTAACTTCCCTCTTGGCTATGCCAGGAGTTCATATGGTTTACTGTCATCTCTCCTTGACTTTACTTTTCTGTAGTTCACTTGTCATGGACCATGTGGCCTGAGTTAGAAAGTGTCTGTACACATAAGGCTCTGCTGTGCTCCGCTGTGGAGGACACAATGATGTGCAGTAAGGAGAGAGAAGGGGGGAGGGAAGGCCAGCATTTTTCTTGAGGTGGGAGAGTGAGTGAGGTTGTGTTGTATACCTCCATGTATGTATGTGTTTGTGTATGTGTGTGTTTGAACTTGTATATGCATGAATGAAATGTTCTGTTCACTGCGCCCTCCCAACAAGGCCTTTCCTCGACCCATCGATGCCATCTAGAACCCCCCAGGGCTCCCCATCACTGTCCGAGCCCCTGTCTCGCTCGTCATCCCCCGCATCGTCATCGTCGTCTTCGTCCTCCTCCTCTGGCGATGGCTCGCTGCCGTTCTCTGTGGCCCAGCTGTCCTCTTCGTCCTCTGCCTCCTGCTTCAGAACCAGGGCTGGTGGTGGAGGTGGTGGCGGCGGAGGTGGCGGGCTCTCGTTGGACTCTGTTTGGTCCTCAAAGGCCTCTGGGTTTTCGAGCATCTCCCTGATCAAAGGAGGCATTGGCCCTGGGATCTCCATCTTCAGAGTGATGGCTCTCTCTGCACCTGGAAGCAGAAAACATGGTGACGGTAGATAGTTAGTAATCATATTTTTAAAAACGCTGTGTTTGCTGACAAAGCCCTGTGTGTCACACATTGGTTAAGACAGCAATCCAGCCTTTTTCTATATCTGAATTTGTTCCAAGAATTACTGTCTTCATACTAACCCTTAGTACTGATACCCCTGAGGTCGGTGATCTTCATCAGCATGCGGGGGAACATGTGGGGTTTGTTGGGGCGACGACGGCGGGCGTAGATCTTCAGAGCCTCAAGTAGAGGCTCTTGCAGCTTATCCACTTTCTGGGGCTCCTCTAGATCCATACGGTCTGATGAAGAGTGCAAAAAATACATAATGTTGTACAAATATTTAGCTCTTCTACTTTACAGTACTAAACATATCAAAGTAGTGACAAACAGATTTACTAAAGCCACTTCCTCTTTACAACACTTTCATTGTCTCTGTGTGATGTGTACACTGCAGTACCTCCACAGATGAGGCAGATGGCACTGAGGAGGCCAGTTTCTGTGTCATCCATTTCCAGCGGTAGAAGCTGGCCAGCAAAGGCAAACACCAGGTCTGTGAGTGGTCCGAAGCCAGCGTTGTGCATCTGAGTCCGGTTCAAAGTCAGGCCATCTGAGAAGGTCATAGTGTCCTGTTCTGGGGTGTAGCGTGTGCAAATCCTCAGCATCTGTGAGCAAAAGAAATTGGAAAACTTTGTGAGCATTGAGCAAAATATGATGTAAAGCTGATGCAAGGTTTTCTACAGCACCAAATAACTAACTAAACTGACACCAGCTCAAAATATAATTTAACCATTGTGTAACTATTCTCACACCATTCAATAGGCTCAGTAAAGGTTGGGCAAATACTACCACTTTTCACCACCAGATGACAGTATTTCCTCATCTTTCACTTGGTTTATATGTGAGAAAAAGGCTCTGCTGTCATAAGTGAAGAAGACAAAAGGGAGGGAAAAAAAGACAATGTTTCCTCACCAGTATGTCCAGGCAGGCTGACTTAAGTAAAGTGATCTGGTCAGCGATGGTGAGGGTGGTAAAACCTGGCAGCCGCTTGGCAAATTCCACTATCTTGATGATGCATTTGGTGGAGAGCTCACTGAACTTGTCCCATAAACCCAGATCCAGCTGGACACGGTGGTCTGAGCTGGAGTTCTGAACACACACAAAGAGATCAGTATGTTGTTACAGAGGTGGTGTGCAACCAAAGCATCAAGGGCGAGCGTGTCCAAGCCTGACAACATATTTACATTTTACATCAATCAAGGGGTAAAAAAAAAAAAATCCATTTACATGTTGCATCAATCATTCAGAGGCCACATAGATGTCTTATTGGGGAACTGAATTGCTTAAACCACCACTATGTTGGGAAAGCTACGGTGAATTTACGTCTTTGCATGCAATTTTGGAGCTTTTAGAATGTTGCCACACACAGTATGAGTGAACAGTAGTGTAGAGTTTGTTTGTGTGTGTGTGTGTGTGTGTGTGTGTGTGACTTACGGTGGTGTATTTGCCCAATTGGCAGAGTGACGGGAACGTTTCTTGGTGAGCTTTGCTGACTTTATTGACCAACTCCTCTAGCTCTCCGCTTAGCTCATAGCTCTCTGGAAGCACCACCTCCTCCTTCACATCCTTCTTCTTCTTGTTTCTGTCATTGCGCACCGCTGTGTAAAGAAAAACAAGAAAGCAAAGCAGTTAGAAGAGAGAGATTTGCCACTGTTTTGCACAAAATAATTTCCTCAGGCAATTTTTGGAGACCAGCTGCAGAATGTTCCTCTGCTTTATCTGTAACCACATGTAAAAACATCCACACCATTTATGCTCTCTGTCTTTCACCACTATCAAGGACATTGTGCTCGCTAGTGGAAACCAGAACTCAGTAGCGACAGAGGTTGCTCTTAACAGTATCAACATATTTCCTTTAGCACGGCACGGACACTGGCTATCTCTTTCTTATCAGCTGCTCTCTTCCTTGTCCATCTCTCTATCCACTTGACCGGTGCACATAAGCCATTCCTCCACTCTCTCCCTCTCTGCCTCCTCTCCCTCCTCCTCCCATACTTTCCTTCCTCTCAGGATATCCAGTAATAGCAGAGGCACAATGTGATCCCGGTCTTAACACACATCCCACACAAACATTACACCCACATACATGTCCCACGGGCTCTGTGAAGGGCGAGAAACTATCACTTACACGCAGCCCTCCGAAAACAAGGTCAAACTAAAGGGGGCACAAAACGATGTCTTTTATTTGGCAAACTGTGTGAATCCTGCCACCTCTGACTTTGTAAAAAGTCAAATTTTTATTTTCCGCTCTGTTGTCTTTATGAATGACAGCAGTGTCTGTGCTGGCCAGAGGGGCGAGGTTTTGTTGTGAAACAGGAAGTCAGAATCATTTCGCAAAGCGATTAGTCATATGATTGGTACAGTGCCCAGCCTCACCCTGATCACCACCCCTGGTAGGCTTATCATCTGCTTCAGTCAACTGCTGCTGCATAGTTTCCCAGAGTCTGACTCAGCATTAATAGATCAATAAGTTCACACTGTCTCAAATCAGCTCAGCTCTCAGTTGGTTGTAAAAAATAAAAAGATCAGATCAGATGTGGACCAAGTAGATTTTAAATATTAACTGCTTGCAAATGTCTCCAAGGTACCCAGGAATATCACACTGTGTCTTGATCTATGTATGAAATATCTGAAGTATCTGGAGCCTTGTGTGTGTGCCAGTGTACACACGTGGTTTTCGTTGTGTGAGTGAGTGAATATCCATGTTTTGGAAGCGGGTCTCTCTGTGTCTTGGCACTCCCGTCCTGGAGGGCTCACCTTCCTTGGACATGCCGACCTCAAAGCACTTCTGCAGCCTACAGTACTGGCAGCGGTTGCGTGTGACCTTGTTAATCTGACAGTTCTTGTCTCGGTGGCAGGTATACACCATGTTCTTCTGGATACTGCGGCGGAAGAAACCCTGAAGCATCAGGAAGCAAGAGACAAAAGGGGAGAGGGCAAGCGAGAGAGAGAGAGAGAGAGAGAAGTGCATTATACTCAAGTCATTAAATTAAGGATGTGACATTTAACTGTTTCTCCTTCATACTCACCCTTCTTTCATCTCTTTTTCTAACTTGAATCCAGAAGAGAAAAGCGAAACATTCTATCATTCTAACTCTTGGTGATTCCATTTTTAACACCACTACTATCTAACTCATATCACAGGAGTAGCTACAGACTGCCTACAAGGGTCTTTCTTTCTTATGTTGATGAAAAGGCAATCTAAATCTGTCTTTCTAAGCCTGTCATAAATCCAGACAAAGCAGAGCTCAAAAGGATCTTGCAGGTTGTTCTCACCTTGCAGCCCTCACAGGAGCTGACCCCATAGTGGTACCCGGAGGACTTGTCCTGGCACACAAAGCAGGGCTTGTAGATACGAGGTGGGGGAGGTGGAGACGGAGAACTGGGTACCATCTCCTCTGAGCTGGTGCTCTGGGTCTCAACCGCTATAGACAAAAAAAAAAGGACAACAGAGCACATGAGCACATGGTCTGCCACAAATCATTATCCTATGGCTACTGTGCAGTGTGAAATGTCACATGTGCACATACACATTCAATACATGTAGCAGATGCAGATTATTGAGCATGTATAACTGCATTCAAACATGATATGACAACTGCTGAGTAACAGTTATATTCAGTTTGTAAACATTTTGCCTGGAGATGGATTGATATACAATATCACATATTCTGTTTTAGCTTGTATGTCTGTGGGACAAAATTGATAAGATCAGATTGAGCAAGAAGAATAGAGTACGAACTGCAGGCAACAGATTCTATTTCCAGGCGCCAATTACCACCCTAAGGGACAGTACGTCAGGCGCATATATGGAGAGATTATTGTTTCGTGTGAGCACAGAGGAACAAGGGAAGCATGACTTTTTGACAGCAGAGACAAAAGTGTTTTTTACAGGAGTAAGCAAGAGCGCTGTTGATGGACAGCTTCTCTGATAAGGCCAGGTAACAGCATGAGTTGTTGCAGCCAAAAGTCAAAGCTGGCTCTTCGTCATTCCACAGACTGACAACAGCTCATAATGACATCGCACAGAGTAGACACATGTCAAACACACATGCGTGCAAAGTCGGTGTGAAGCTCTCCTTCTACCTTTCAAACTTGAACAAGACTGTGACGTCAGCGCTACCTTGGGTCACATACTTGCTACGGTACATTAATTATCACTATATTCCAAAGTGGAACCATCATAAGCTCTTTTGGATGTTCACATGTGCAGCCAATGCAGCGGATTCCGTACTTCCCCTGAGAAACATAAGCTGCTGCACACGCATAGGACCAGTTCACATTCTAGCCTGCACAAACTCACAGACACACATGTTGCTCGGGGGAAGTATGGAATCCATACGCTGCACACTTGAACATCCACTTACCCAACAGCACCTCTTTCAACTTTCACCCTTGGTTACCCTCAAACTCCCCCCCCCCCCCCCCAAACTCTGCATCCCACCACCCCCCTGACACACAAACCCTATTTTTCTCTTGTTTCCTGGCCCTAAATTCCTCAGTGCAGCCCTGCCAGGTTTTAATAGAGGCCTAGGCTCGTAAGGCGGCCTATAAAGGCGGTCCCATAGCTGGACAGGAGGCCCCAGCTCGGCTGGTCTACACTTTATTGGGACTCGGTCACCTTGGGCAGCTATTCACACCACCAGCTGTAGCTCCCAGCCCGTAAAAAAAAGCCAATCATAAAATAAAAAACAGGGAGGCTCTAAAATTCTAACTTTTACTGCCCCCACCTCCCCCCAGCACCTTCAATGGAAAGCACAGAGGGCCTAAACTTAACCTACAGCTCCCCCTCCTCCCCTCTCTCACACCCAAGGCTGAGGCAAAAACCACCAGATTTCCTTTTTACAAGAGAGGGGAGACTTCAAAAAGAAGAAAAAAAGGGGGGCATAAAAAGAGGAATTTGATAAAAAAGAGAGAAAGGGGCAGAGGGGGAAAGGGGGAGGAGAGGACACAGTTGCTCCTGAGGGCAAGTCTTGTTCAAGATCAAGCTGACCATTACTTCCACTTCTGCTACAGCTGCTGTGACCGGCCAGCTACTACCTCATTAATGATAGTAACAGAAATATGTCAGACTTTTTCATTTGTTGCCTGCTGCTCAAACATCTGTTTTTCATATGTATTTTTATATTTGACTATTCAGAATCCACATTCAAATTCCTCCTTTGAAAGCCTTACTTTGCTGGAGGCAAAGATGTTTTCCATTAGTTTTAAGAGCGATCCCAAAGCCAAATGTGCAAATCAATCTAAAACCTGAAGTTTACGCTGCTGAATGTTTCTACAGCAGTTCTCATATCTCCCGGGCCAGAATGTAACAAAGCAACAGGGTCAGTGGGAGAGCAGAAACCCTCTGAACGTGCCATGAACCTCTGTGTTTATGCAATAATAACAGCAGCAAATGAGGCTCCAGACCGAGCGCCGACAACCCCTAAGAAAAGGACAAACCATATGTGGCGTCAAGTAACGAACACTGACTGACACTGTCTTAATGGAGAAAGAAAGCAAGGCAAAGAGAGAAAGGCCATCCTGGAGAAAACTTGGAAAGCATTAAGAGAGAAAATATATCAGCCTCCATCAACACGTTGAACCTGGTTCCTGCCAGAGAACATGACTCCTGTACCCGCCTCCTAGACTTGGCCTCATTCAGCCCAGTCCATCCAAATCCCCCGCACCACTTACCCCAGGGCGCCACAGTGAGAGGGCCCATTCAGGCAGCCGCCCCGAGCCCCTTTACCCAGTCTCCTCAACTCAGCTCATCACTGTTTAGAAAACAAAGCCCTGTGAAATGAGAGGCCCTCCTTATCAGCGCTCCGAGGCCTGGGGCCCCATTTGCATGACAATCTGCCGGCCAAGGCCTGTGAGCTGATGACGGACGGATGAGATGAGAGGAGTGGGATAGGTGGGTGGCTGCTGCTGTTGTTAGGGGAAGAGAAGAGGATAAAGAGAGGCAAGAAGGAGGGATAGTTGAGTTATCAGTAGCCACTGTTCGTTTCCTGCTAAGTATCAGTTTACCCACTAATCCCTTCTCTCAATGCTCTCTGTGCACAAGTGGCCCAGCTGCACTGACCAGGCCTAATCCACATGTCACATACACACAGTGATACTATTCAATGGCTGCAAACTACACACGCACGCACACAGGAGGGTAATATTCACTAGATAAAAACTAGGACCTCCTCCCCCCCAACATTACACTAAAGTGCTTCAGCCACAGTGGGCTATGAAGTACATTATTCTCCACAACCTCATTAGATGTGAAATGTAACTGCACATGACAGAAATAGCTGTTTAGCTGAAGGTGACTTCAACTAGGTCAATTACATTAAATTCTAGGTCAAGTCAACTGGAGCAGTTGATCTCCCTTTAGGTTCAACAGATAGGAGATAATATAGAAAAACAAGGGACTTTCTGGTAACACTAAAGCTGCCTGGTGTTCACTCAACTGGAAAGGGGAGTGTTTCTAATGTATGTGAGCAAAGGCCTGACTATGCGGCTTGTGTTTTTCGAGTTGCAACACACTGCTTTTAACTGAGCAGCATATGACATTCTGGCAGGGTAACAAGTATTCTTTCACAATAGGCCTGCAGATTTTGTCTACGTGACTTGTTGGTGTGATTGAATCTTCGGTGGGACACTGCTCCAGAGGTCTGGCGTTGGCACGTGAGAGCAAATGCCCAGGCTGTTTCTGTGTGAGACAAGTGCACATACAGTACAGTACATGAGTAGGCTAGGGTTAGGGTTAATATCTGTGTATATGTTGGTTGTGTATGTGTGACTCCAGCCAGCGGCACTGCCTTCTCCCAGCAGCCTCTATTTGATTTGCAAATTCAGGACTGTTCATCATGCTGCACTAGTGAGCTTCACTGTTTCCCATTAAAATTTCCTCCTGCGTGTGTATGTGTGCACGCGCGTGGTGCATTGTGTTTAGTTACTGTCAAACTGCAAGCACGGGCATCTCTATCTTCATTAAACAGCCTGCAAAGCTTGCGTGTTCTCGTCAAATGCACTGAGCAGTATAAGAGTGTGTGAGAGTTGGAGGCAGTGTGTGAGAGGGGCACACATTAGGGCTCACTGTGAAAAGAGGGGTGGGTACTGGGCAGACAGCAGTGGCAGAAGGGGAGCAGATTGAGAGAGGATGGTGAACAGTGGACTGGAAGACTTGCTGGCACACTAGGTGGGGCCTTTGAGGGGGCCATTGGCCCTCTACCCAATGGCAGAGGCTACAGTACAACAGGGTGCTCACTGAGTGACCATTACACACCAAAAGGTTTCCATAAAGAACTGGGCTTTGTGAAAGAGGAAGAGAAAGTACCACACCCTTGTCAGTGGTACCAGCAAGTTTCACTCTCCTTCTCTCTGTTCCTCTGCCCACGTCTTCCTGCCATCTCTCTGAGGCTTCTGCTACAAGGTCCCTCACAACAGGCTTGTTTCCTTCCTCTTGTCAGTACCAGCCTTTTCCGGAGGATCTCCGTCATTGGCTTTGCAGCCTCTGCACTGTGTCCCTTGTGGCTGCACCTTCTTACATGTACTTTCATTTCCCACCGGTCAAATAATAATGCTGCTCTGTTCAAACTCTATTAACCACAGCTGAGTCACCTGCAAGCTTTGGGTGGTCTATCAAGTCTCTATTGTGTGAGTCAAAGAAGCACTCACAATGTAACCTGCCTACAACTGAGAAAGAAATAGTTTACATGATGGAGAAGTCAAAAGCAGAGACAAGAGAAGGAGGAATATGTGTGTGTTGACAGGGGAGGGGTGCTTTCATTAAAAGGTGCTGAGCAGTAGCAATGGCTTTCAACAGCTGTCAGAAAGTTCATTACCTGGACTCCTGGACACACACACACACACACACACACACACACACACACACACACACACACACACAAAGAGGCCCCACTAGGCTGTCTTTTAAAAGAAGATCTATGATAAAACAGGGCTGCCGACCAGGAGAAGGATCAAGTTTGAGCAGTGAAAACACACCAAGCAGGCCAGGGGTAGTGAGAAACCAGGCATTAACACAAACACCCCTCCGAGAATTTACACACGTCTGTCAGAACCAGCGGAAAGTCATGAAACATAGTGAGAGACCGACACACGTGTGAATGCACATGATGCACACATGTAATCTGAGCATGTGCTCATAGCTTCCATGAGTGCTAATGACAAAAGTCTAGACCTTAGAGAGTGACACAACTTGTCATGTCACACAAACTCCTGCCAGCACACACACACACACACGCATACACACTTCTTTATCTATAGCTCCACCAAAGAAAGCGTACAAGCAGAGCAGGAAAGGCAGCAGGTGGGATAAGCCTGTATCCTCAGGGCAGATTTTAAAAAGTGGAATTACCCTTGCAGTCTGGTGGTGCTCTCAAAACACCCTTTCTTCTTTACAGCACCTCATAAAGGGCCTTTTGATATTTTC